AGATGTTAGCCCGCTGGGAACACCTTCTTGGAGCATATCCCCTAAACAAACGAAGAAACCCCTCTCACTTTTAGCGGGTTGGGAGCAACTGTAGAGTTTGATGAAACAAATGTTACACGAAGGAAGTACAATCCCGGCGGACTTCTGCGCAGGAAGAAGTGGTTGTTCAGTAGTATCGAGGAAGGGAGTGGTCAAGCGTTCAGGGCGCTAGTAAAACGCCGTAACGAATCCACACTCGCTAACCTTATCCTCATGTTCATTCGACCAGGAACTACGGTCAGGAAGATCGACTATATGAAAAGCGTACTACCAGCTGGATACAAGCACATGGTAGAGAGTCACATGGCCTTCCGTCGATCCTCAGATTGAAGCACACACCCAAAACATTGAATCCTAGTGGTTAAGTTCAAGGTGATTCCCAAAAAGAAGTTCGGTTTGAACACTAAGCGGTACTCTCACTATATCGGAGAGTTACTGTGGCCCCGAGTGTTTCAAAAACCAGGCGAAGTCATATTTGATTCCTTCGAACATGTTGCACACTTGAATCCCTGCTAGGACGTCTTATACCAAGTACCGCCAAGATCAGTTAATACCAACTCTCCGTCTAGAGGGGGGGGGAGTCATAGTGGCACCAATTAACTCATCGATTTCGGTAATGTGCTCTGGCAAAGCTGCTTTTCAGACATTTTCATGGGCATAGTGTTTTTTCATCCCGATTTCTGCAGCAACGAATCCATTGAGGGAACGAGGCGGGATTGCTATAACCTCCTGTGAGCATCCTAGTTAAATTATGAAAAGGTACCGCTCTGATGTTTGGCGCATCTGTCGCTAGTCTAGTAGTTAATTTTCCTGATGCGTGATCTTCATGGTCGAAATACTCTCCATCCTGAAATGTGAACCAAAGAATTCTTATTATGCAGCATGAACACCTTACTATTGCTTACCTGTTTTACAATATTAGTAAACAACGATAATCGTAATCGCTTCGTGAGAGATTCTCCAACTCTCCCAAAAAGATAGCCGGAAATCATAGTGCTGATACCGGATGAAATGCCCAATACCGAAAACCATATGGCGTTCATTGTCGCACCATGCAGCTTCTGGGAATCGCTACCGCTCGTCAAAGTCTGAATTTGAAACATCTTCGGCAACAGTGTCTCAGAGGAAAAGCCACGTTAATTGTATAGCTGTAGTCATGTGTACTTTTGCGGTTTCCACACTAGTGTATCCTCTTTGGAGAAAAATCAAGGGGACTGCAAAGCGTGTGTGGTCCACGAAATCCGTGTTGCGGCATCGCTCGGAGTATGTACTTATTCTGGTGCAAATGTCGCGCACGTTGCTCCGCTTGCCGCCTTATTAGTCACACGGCGGATGTGTGATACTATACTTGTGTGGCGCCTTTCTGAAGACAAGAGTCTGCCTGACCTTCAATCAGCTTGAATTGCACCTTTCAAGGGAATGGAAGGCAGTGCAACAATGCAAGTCCCAGTGAGGGAAATGCATTGGGCCTTCCAGATAGTACGGCCACAGTATTTGAACCAGAGTCGAGACAGGGTTGAAATTGCATGAGCTAAAGGATTTAATAACAGACCCCTTCAGTTGGTGGCGGGACCAAAGCTCTCTACAACTACTTTTCTAATAGTTGAAACTAGTGGTTGGTTGCTAGCCACCCTCCCCCCCCCTCCCGCTCTCAAGCAAAATTTCGTAGAAAGCTAGAAAATCTTCAGGGAATTCCGGAAAAACCGGAAGAAGTGGTAGGAAGTATGAGAAAAATCTAGGAAAGTGGTAGGTAGGATGGAAAAGGGGTGTATCAAAGTAGGGCATTAAGGGTTTGTCGTATTTTACGACAATTTTTTTCAGCGACAGTACAGTCGTCATCCTTGCACTTGATAGTCAATGTCAGTGCGGCTGCGTGCGGCGCGGTCGTCAGCACCCGTACTGCACCAATCGTTGAACCAGAGAGTGACATTACTGTATTATATCCTTCGTGTTACTCGTTTTCTATCACTTTTTGTCGCATACGCGTTTCAACGAAAAGGCTGAGAAGGCTTCAAACAGTGTGCACGCTCCTTCTCGCCGACACGCCCCTATCAAGTGCAAGGATGACGACTGTACTTCCCCTGATTTGGAATGTGTAACATGCAGAATGTAAGTTGTCAGAATGACAGAAGAGACGTCTGTGGGCGAAGCTACTCTGCGAGCTATCTTCTAGGCGCTTGGTAAAATAGGTAAACTCTTACCCTGAACATTCGGCCGTAAATTATTGAAAATACGGGGAATGTCATTCCACGGACCATTGCGAAGACCAGAGCCACTGCCAGTTGAAGCCATTCTTGCCTTGCATATTTCAGAATATCTAAGAGACTTGCTCCCTTTACTTTCTTCTCCTCAGCTTCTTCCTAAATTACTTACTACTTTCACTCTTACAGCATTTTTGGCGCTGTAGGGGTTGTCAATGCAGAGTAGCGTCCAGGTCGACGCGGAAGGATACCTCCAAATCCTCGAGCTCCTCATCGCGAACTTCAGTGTGACGGGAAATCGAACGGGAAAGACGCTTACTCCTCTTTCTCATCATAGTCACGTGATGTTCATCAGTAGCACCAAAAGAGGTGAAACCTCAAAAATTTTACGTTTAGGGCAATCCTCCGTCATGGTTGCCAAACGCACCAGTTTCTTCGTCGCTTACAGCCTCCTCTCGCTGCTCAATTTCTTGAGCTCTTACCAGTTCCGAATAAAGTCCATTCTTCTTCATCAGCTCGTCATGCTTCCCTACAAATATTAAGTAATGATTTTCTGAACGCTGCTTCAACTTTGGTGCAATATTTCACTGGATTACGATGGTCCCAGTTTGGCATAAATTAATTGTACGCTGTTCCAAAATGATGGAATTACTGACCCATAATATTGGAAGATTTTCTATTGTTTTTTTTGCCTCTTGATTAGGTTGATCTTACCATCTTCTACTATTCGGCCGCTGTCAAATACGTAGATACGATCGACATTCTTTATAGTTGAAAGTCTGTGAGCGATCGAAATTGTTGTTCGTCCAGATTGAGCCTAAACATTGTTATACAATGTATGTGATCCATCTTCCAGAACAAGCTTAAAACCTCAGTCTACACTGGTCGTGTTAGGGGTCAGGACCAACACTGTGCTTTCCTAATTTTATGATTTTATGATTTATTATCGGCAAACTAGTTACAATGGTCGAGATAAATAACAGTGTATGAGAAAAAAAAACTCCGATAAGGTGAAAAAACACTCATGGTAATACAAGACCTATAGCTGCAAGCAGTGAGCATGATTGGTAATAACTCAAAAGACGGTTGAAAAGAGGAGCGCCAGTGAGAGCAACAGAAGGTCTAATGGAGCCCGCAAGACCAACGGGAATCGCACCGTCATGCCAGCTTAACCTTTTTTCGCGAGTCTTCTACTGGATCTCTTTTTTTTACCCTCTTTGCAACCGTTTTGTACCAGAAAACACAATCGCAGCGGCGTTCGTAGTCTGCGCACGGCTCGAAGTTCGGGTAATCGCGACAAGGATTAGATCGGTCTCGATCCTCAGTTCTGCGTTCTGTTCACTCGACATCAGGTCCGATTTCAAAGCTGGTTCTTCGCGCTGTTTTGCTGATCATTGAATCATTGGTGTTGCCAGTTATGAATGCTGCCGGGCCAATGCTTCTTGCTCGATTCATCCCGAAGGCACGCAGAAATCATGTACCGGAGAGGAAAAGTGTGGTGAAAGCGCCACCTCCAGTGTGATATGGTGTAGGTGAGGTAATGAGGTGACATTCATCAATATTTGTTCCTATTATTGGTACGCTGAGTTTCCTAATGCAGAAGTTAACGTTTTATTCGAACGCACTTCGTCTCTCGATGATGGCCGAGTCGTCGTGAGGGTGTGTGAAATGACTGTCTCGGCACGACCCCCCCCGCCTCCCCCCTTCCCCAGCACCTACCTACCACATTCCCAGTTCCCAGCTTCCTTCCAGTGTTCTCCGAAATTTCCCGAAAATGTGCTACTTTTCCCCAAAAGGCTTCCGTCGGAGGGGGGGGGAAGATAAATAGCACATGTGAAGGCAGGAAAAACCGCGAAAAGCCGACAACCCAACCGGGAAAAATTTATTTCAACGCTGCAAATTTCTCTCGAAGCACATCGACCCAGCAGCACATCCGTTGCTTGGGGGAATCATAAGAGAGAGGGAGGTAATATTCGGTCCGCCAGGAGGGGGATTGACGTACTTGGGTTTCAGGTGAAAATTTATTTTGATAGTTGATTTATTCTTCATGCTGACGTTGTAAAGGGCGATGGGGTTGTACTTGCAGCTCATTTTTGGAGAGCGAACTGACTTTGGAATTTTCCTGTTTCACGGACTACGTTCCCCCCCCACCCCCCCGCCCCCCGTTCGACGGTCGACTCGATGCGGAAGGACAGAGGGCTAGGGCAGGGGGGGGGTCGTACCCAACATCCCAAAGGGGTGGTAGTATTAAGAGCGACATGAAATCTCCAAACCACAATGATGTGCCTGCGCGACCCCTTTCCCCTCTTCCAACACACCAAGTAACCCACACCTCCTACCAGCGGCCCAATGCAATTACGCATCCCCGTGTTTCACACAACGTGATGTACCCTCAGGATAGGAATGGATTACGCACTCGCCCCGGTCAGCGAGAGATGATTTGAGTCCCGTCTGGCATATGAGTTTTGCCCATAACTCAGCGTTTGTGACAACTTTGCGAGCGAGTTCTGCTGCTTTAATCAGCTGTTATCATATCAAAACAGCTTGAAGGAATGTCTCCGTATTGCGAGGAAACGAAACTATCAGCAACCGCTATCTGTTACGAAAATATTAACAATTTCTGAAAAAGTTCTCCTTAATCCTACACGTCTTGGGGGATTGATCGTGGCACTTGCCTTTAAAGGCAGTTGCAGCGATAACATGTTTGAAGTAGAGCTTGAAAAGCAGCCATGGTGACTAGTAGTTCAAAGACGGTGAAGAAATGAGGCGAAACGGTGGGGAAACAGGGAAACGGGGGCTCTATTTCCACGCTCTACTGCGGGAGTGGACGAGTGAACGGTGGGGGCGGGCGCAGCTATACGTGACGAGTCTGCGCTGAACAACCGCTCACTGCTGGCTTTTTGCCAGCCGACGCCAGCTGAGCGGTTCGATCGATGAACCCTATTTTATTGCTTTATCACTACAGTTTAGGGCAAGATTGCAGAAAATACAGTCTTAATATTAAGTACGAGTTGATTCGAGAGTTCTTAAAATAAAGAATAGGCAAGGTGTATGCATCAATTGAAATGCAATAACCATGATCACAGTGCGTTTCCAAGAACATCGGAATAATAAATGTTAAAGCTCTATAACGCATGAGAAATCTTTACAACTGCAGAATCACCCACCTAGTACAGTAAAGTCTGGTCAAATCAACGATGGATTAAAAAAATCGATGAAAAGTAATAAATAAACAGCAGTACGATCGATCGCACTAGTTGACACAAAACAAAATGCCCCTGAATTCTTCTTACCGCATTTCTTCTGCTTTGAAAATCAACAAATAAATCTCTAATCGACGTAGAGACATCACCAGATCAAATAAACTTCAAATGTCTACATAGTACTAAAAAATAAGAAACCAAAATGCGCACTACTGGAAGAAGGAATTTTTTTCCTACGTCACGCCACATTACACGTAGGATCCCACCACGAAAACGGTCCAAAGCGGCACGTCCTCGTGGAGGGATCCTATACGTCCAAAAGTAGGCGGGCGGGCAAGGAAGGCGTTTGGGACGTAAAGTTGTTGCTCAATAGGGCGTTATAGAGGTACCCTCCATGGAAATGGCTTCACGCAGTGCCTGTCCGAGGTCACGCGATTCCGTTAAGCAGTGGTAAACCCTAGACCTGTATAGCGATTTATCGTGCCAATTGCCTTTAAGGGTGGCTCACCATCATGCATACCTCTCTGTGGTTTTTTTTTCTGTTTTCATACTGTCATTGTTCTCTTTGTTCGTATCAGTGGGCTCGCGGCGCTATCATTCTATGACCGTAATGAGTACGGCGAGCGATTTTCTTACCATAGCGAAGTATATCACCGCTAAATGCTCCTATGCCTGTACATCGGTTCAGTAGGGTCCGCCGCCTGCTTACGCACTTGCTTGCAGTCTGGTTCGCTGCGACTAATAGTGCTGCGTTCTTAAGAAAAAGGAGCAGTAAAGCTAAATGTGCTCGGCTTAATGCAACCAGAGGGCGAGAAAATCGCCGATAAAATTGAGGATAATCGAAACAAAAATTAGTGCTGCAGACATACGTTTTCAAGCGCTTGCTGAACAATGCTTTCGCTCTCAGCGTCCAAAGCACTCGTCGCCTCATCGAGTAACAGAATTCGTGGATTTCTGACAAGAGCTCGAGCAATGGCAACACGCTGCTTTTGACCACCGGAAAGCTGAACTCCACCTTCACCTATCCTTGTTCGGTAGCCCTGAAAACAAATTTATTCAAAGTACGTACTACCTGCTACCGTATTCCTTAATCATCAGAATAGGTTCTACTTCAGCAGTTTCCCACCCTCCTGAACACCCTTCTTCCAGAAGTAGTTCATGTGCAATCATGATGGGGAAAATCAGAAGCTTGCGCAGTTAGAAGCAAAGAAAGCCTAACATTGGGAAAGGAATACACTCCACAGCACAAATTATCCGTTTCGCTCGGTATCGCAGACGAATCATCATTGTCTAGCCAACCCCCGAGCTCATCAGTGCGACAGGTTGACGACATGAGGACATAGACTACATAGGGGAAGGTGTTGAGAAATAGGATAAAACGAGAGAGAATGTAAAAAAAGGGAGGGGTTCACATGCAACGTTCATGCAGTCAAGAAGATGGTGAATTATACTAATCTAAACCATCGGCCATCGCCCGGCTGACGCCGAGCTCTCCTCCTTCTTTTCAGCTCGGCTTCGCCGAGCTGGCCTGGCTTCGCCAGGCGCACGGAAATGGAATTTGTTAATTGCCTGAGCTGCTCATATTGCGCGCTAGTGGTCGAATCATAATAGACAGAGTAACCTAGCGAAATCTGCACCCCTCAGAGTTGCGGAAGCGTGCTGGTTTCGGCCATAACGCCCATTCTATACGTAGATCTCAGAAATAGATAGGAAGTACAGAATATCAATATATGTTGCACAGTAGATGAACACATTCCGTTTTTATTACATGCATCACAATCAGCCAACGATGGG